TCAGAGTTCAAATACTGCTCCATTCTTTACCATTTCTGTGACTCTGGGTAAGTGGTCTAACTTCTTTGAGCCTGGGTTTTCTGAACCTTTAAACGGAGCTAATGACATGTCTTAGAAGGTTAGTAAAGAGAAAGTAGAAAATCTAGCATGGCATGTAGGAACCCTCACTCTCCTTCCAAAGGCAGCAACACCAGTGATGAAAAAGTGCTGCCACATGACTCCTATGGGCCAAGGTCAACTTCAGGTTTATCTCTCTGGACCATGTGACCTTAGACAAGACATGTCACCACTCTGACACTCATTTTCTTTACCCAAAAAATAGAGATGACTAGTGGTAACTAGGAACCGTGGTGGTGCAACAACAATTAAGGGCTCAGCTGCTAACTGAAAAGTTGATGGTTCAAATCCATTAGTGGCTCTGGGGAAAAAATACCCGGCAATCTGTTCCCATGAAGATTACCACTTAGTGAACTCTATGGGGCAGTTCCACTCTCATATAGGGTTGCAATGAGTCAGAATTGCCACAACAGCACACAACAACAACAACAAGTAACTAACAACACTGCACTATATATAGTGCTTTGCCCAGGGCACCAGCTATTAATAAGTTTCCTACTATTATTAGGGCCTAACTCAGCTTATGATTCATATTGCCCATGATAACTTCTGTCAAAACTGTTCACATCCACATTACAATCAACCCCATTGGCATGGCAATTACATAGCTTTATTATTTCACACACACACACAAAAAAAAACCTTATTTGGCTGAAGAGCCAACATCTATAAAAATACTAGCTTCTGGAAACAAACCTTTCTAAAGCCAGTAAAATGAACCTGATCTTCTCATTCTCATATTCTATGACTTCTCACCTTCAAAATATGTTGGTACAACAATTTATACTGTTCAGCAGGACTGTGGCTCTTAACTATTTAATATAATTTTGTGACGTGAAAGTGATAACAAGCACTTGCAAAGTGACACCGAAAACTGGGACTGAACAAACTATCAGTCAGTTGTAAGAATAAATGAGCTGGATATGCTCCAAACATTTGCCCAACTTCCTTCCCCGCTTGCTCAACCTGATCATAGCTCTCACCATCCCAAGTTGCAAAGTTTACATTTGAGCCTATAAGTCCAAATCCCATCTTTCTCTCTTAACAAACTAGAGCTGCTATTGTTCCCTTGATAAATATAATATAATATGTAAAAATATGAATCAGTCCTCTAATTTATGACAGGGAGATGTAGCTAAAAGTCTGATTTGGCAATGCTCTTGATTAAAACAACATTAATAATGGTCCTAAAGGAAAATATACTTCATTCTAATTGTCAAGATGTCTTATAATGTTTCTGACAAAGGCACAGTAATTATGCTAAGGTACAGAAAGTAATGGTGCCCAACTCTGCCCCCAATGAAAGTACACAGTGAGAGTGACAAATGGATGTATTTGCATATGGATGAGCAGGGATCTGTTTCTCCCCAAGGACCCTGTAGATACGAAGGAGAGTCAATGACATTATTGGATGATGCCTTTTACGACAACACAAGATGATGGAGCAAAGGTCTCTATCATACAGAGATGACACAACTCAATGAAATGCATTCACTAAAAAATCTTGTTTTCCATCCACTGTCCCTGTCTGGCCAATGTGGGCAACAGATTTGGTTTGATTTTGTTGCAAAATGTTTGCATGCACACAGTCAAAACAAGTAAACATTTTAAAAGCATATAAAGAGAAAAGTAAATGACCACCCAACCTCCTTAGCCTCCACCCAGTTCCATTTCATAGAGGAAAACATAACTGGCCATAAGAACTCTTTCTTCATTTTTCACACTCATACACAAACTATATGCACCTGCACATGAGCAAAAATGTCTTTTTTTTCTCCCACTACGTGAGTTTTTCCACTTCAAAATATATCAGGACAACTTTCCAGAAGATGTAACAGAATAAAGTTGTGATGCAGTGAATTATTTAATATGGCCCCTCTAGCCATGCATGGTTGGTAACTCCCATTCACTGACTGGGTAACACTATGCAGTAAGGTGCATGAGAGGATCAAATTCACTGCTAATGCAAAAAGGGGGCAAGGGGTTCGCTACTGTAAATAAGGTGCATGGAACCCTTGTGGGAGATTGGTTAGCTCATGATCCCACTAGGGTGGGGGACACACCTTGAAATTGATAAGGAGCTTGCTATAGCTATATGACCAGTTGACAGAGGTTTTAGAAAATACAGAGAGGAGAGAAGGAGGTATTACACTGAGGACAGCAAGAGACGGTGGTGGAGCTGGCAGGAACTAGGAGACCCACATGAAATGCTTATAGTGACACTCACAGACCCACATAACTAAGTGTTGTAACACAAGCCTGAGAAGGCATCAAACTGGGTTGGGCAGCAGAGGGCAAGATGAAGCTGTCCTGATGGAAGAACTGTTTCCTGCATTATTCCTGTTATTTCTGAGCTGATCCTGATCTTGAGTTGTACCCTGTTACTTCCTCACTAAACCACTTAACTGTAACTACAGTCTGTAAGTTTTATGAGATGTTGCAGCAATGACCTAACCCTAAGACCAGAGGGAGGGTACTGAGGGAGAAGGAAGAGGGGATGTTAGAGATGATGGAGTGGTACAGCAGTTTGGAGAAGTTGAACACTTGGGACATCTTTAACCTCCACCTCATAGGAACCAGCTTTGTGATGATGGTTATAAAAGAAATTAGTCATTGAAAAGAAAGACGGAACAAAACTTGAAGACTTCCAACTCATCAGTGGGTGACTTTACAACAGATTATACAATCTTTCAAGCTCCGCTCCTCTATTTCAAATATGTGCTTCACCACACCTTACACATAAGAGTTTGGAAATACATATTCAAAGAGTGAAGTACCTGCATGTTCTTCAAAGACGAGACTAGAGTCACTTCAAAGCCACAACACTTCTAGTCGAGGTAGCTCGTGAAGCAGTTTCTCCACCACTCAGTCTGTGGGATTCACTCACTCATTCACTCATTAAGGCCCCAGGATATTCCTGGCGAAGTCTGGGAAGCAAGGCTTGGCAGTCTGCTTCTGGAAAGTACCCACTGAAAACCCTATGGGTCACAGAATATGGGATCATGCAACATGGTTCTGGCGGAATGCTTGGCTCAGGAACCCAGATGAACAACCAGCCAAGGTCTCTAGCTTCAGAATCTCCTTTTTAAATGAGTTCATTAATTTTCTGTTGTTGGGAATACACACGGCAGAGCATACACTAATTCAACAATGTCCACGTAACAATTCACTGACATTGACTACATTCAAGTTGTGAGAATTTGCATTTCAAAGTAAGCTACACCCACCTATAGTCCTCCATCAATTATTGTATTTAGCTTCCCAACGTTGCTGTGAGAGAGGGATCATAATCTTATTGACACCACTTAAGTGTGAAAAAGGAGATTTAGGAGAGGTTAAGTAACATATCCAGAACCACAGTGGGTTGGGGAAGAGAAAGATCTTACCCTTGGTTTTAGATTTTAGCCACCATGTTATAGACATTGCAGCTTAAATATATATATATATATATGTATATATATGTATGTATGATATGCAATAGACTGGAGCCTTGGAGAAACCTTAAAATCTCTCTTGGTCTCAGTTTTCCCATCAGTAAAATAGAGATATTGAGTATTTTGTACTATGAATGTCAATTTATGTTGGTCTTCTAAGATTTCAAAAGTTCAATTGCTTTTATTTGTTGACCATGTTATCCTAAATTTACTGCTGTCTTCACCTGCGTGCCTCTCCAGGTCAGAGAATGGCAAGAGGCACTTTCATCATGACCTTGGCAGTGCAGACTCATGCAGTGGCTTTGCAGGAGAAAGACCTGATGATCAGTTTCTGCAAAGGGGACACCCTAGAAGCCCCTATGGAGCAGTTGTGTCCCGTCGCCAGGGGTTGCTATGAGTAGGAATCGACTCAACATCAACACCATATTCCATCCTGGAGTCACGTGGTAGAACCAAAAGTCTGCTGGTTTAAACCAGCAGCTCCGTGGAAAGACCCGGTGACCTGCTCCTGTAAGGATGAGAGCCCAGGAAACTCTCTGGGAGTAGTTCTGCTCTGTCACGTGGAGTCATTGTGAGTCGAAACTGATTTGAAGGCTTCTAACACCTCTGGTAGCATAGTGGCTAAGACACTTGCCTGCTCACCAGAAGGCTGGCGGTTCAAACCCACCAGCCACTCCTCGGAAGGAAGGTTAGGCAATCCTACTTCCGTAGTGATACTGCCTCGGAAACCCAAGGAGGGGTCGCTATGAGTCAGGGCTGACTCGACGGCGCATAACAACAACAACAACAGTATTCTGTAAGTCGTTTCTCCACCTAATGTGTCAATGCCTTGCTGAGTCTGAACCTTTGGAAGATAAAGTGGAAAGCTGCCATTTCTATGTCAGCATGCCTAGTGTCCATCTGAAACCAGGATTATGGATCCCCTGGAATATGTTAACTTGGCTTTAACTTGGGAGAGGCTGACCCATTCTTTAAGTTGCTATTAGCATCATTAATCTAACAGAAGTTTTCTCCATCTTTGAAATACTCAACTTCATGTACCTCTGAAAATGAAGCTTCAAAATTGAACCTCAGTGATATGCCCAATCCCTTTCACATAGACTTGACCCTTTGTCTTTCTCTCTAAAATGGATTTAACTTTGGAAATTTATTTCAGTAGGCCAAAGAACGTTTTCCATCCTATTTGTGAAATTGTCAGTCTCATTAAAAGGTAGGCCAGGAACCTGGGGAAATGTACTTCCTTCTAAATCTTTAATCAATCTCCAAACATCTGCTGGTCAGCATATCTCCTGTAACTCCATTTATTATACAAATGTGCCCCAGAACTTCGCAGTTGCCCAATGAAATCAACAGTTGTGAAGAAGAAAATCAAATTGCCTCCTCTCAGTAAGAGGCCTATTTGATGGCCAAACTCCCTGCTGAGGATGAAAGCAGAATCAGGTCCCAGACAGCAGCGTCTTCCTTCCCTCTGGCTACAACAAGCTGTAACCAGAATTCTTCTTTCATGACGGCGGTAAACAGGTACTCAGGAAAAAGAGCCGTCATCAGGCCTTTCAAGCAAGGAAAGCTAAAGTAACATGCATTCAAATTTTGCCTACCGTTTATATGGAACTTCTGTTACCCAGAGGAAAGCAGAGTTGAGAGTGAAAATTTACTCTGCCTACATTTAATGTAGGGAACCACTTCTGGTACTTTCTTCATTCATTCAGTAGATAATTTTACTCAAGATACCGGGACACTTTAAGAGTATCATAAATGAAACAAGCCACTAAGTTCTGTTTTGTTGTTGTTGTTGTTGTTGTTGTGTGCTGTTGAGTCAGCCCTGACTAAACTAAACAGTCATTATAGTTTTGAGAAATACTGACTGAAACAATCATCTTAGTTTTTATACAATATGGACCAAAACTGTGGGCCAACAAATCAAACCATAGTTTTCCAAAAGATCTTGGGTCCCTCTTTGGAAGACTGGCCTAAGGCTGCAGCTTTGCCGTTACAGATCAAGCTGTGGCAGGATGGGGCTCTCAGGAAACAGATTCGGAGATGCATGGGCGGGAAGGTGAGTGGGGAGTACTCTCAGATTAACAGCCGGTGGAACCCGTGGGAGCGAAGGCGCAGGACTGGGCAGAGGCAGAAGTCGGATGGGATGCAGCGTCAACAGAGTACTCTGAAGCCTCCTCCCTTCAGGAGCTTGGGTGCCTTCAGTTGTCGTTGTTAGGTGCTGTCGAGTGGATTCCGATTCATGGCAACTCCAGGGGACAGAGTAGAACTGCCCCAGAGGGTTTCCTAGGCAGAGTCCCTCCAAGTGAAGGCCATTCATCAATCAGTCTTTGAGTGTGGGTGGTCCCCAGATAAGGGGGCATGGCCTTTGGCAAGGTCGCACAGCACTCCACCAGGTGGAGGAGGGGATGTTTCAGTCCTGGCAGGGGCTGGGGATCTGAGAAGCACACAGTAATGCCCACTACCCAGTACTCGTCCAATTTCAACCTTTTCACAGTAAGGCAATGCATTCTGAAACGTCAAACCCAAGAAAACAGTAAGAACCAGTTGCCATTGAGTAGATTCAAACGCATGGCAACTCCATAGGGTTGTCAGTGGCTGATTTTTCAGAAGCATGTTGCCAGGCCTTTCTTGCAAAGTGCCTGTGGGTGGACTCAAACATCCAACATCTTGGTTGGCAGCTGAGCATGTTAACCACAATACTCCTGCATGACGAGGGCAAAAGAACAGGGGTCTACTAAGCTATGTTGAAGGGAGTTTGGGTGGAAGAATGGAGCCTCCAGCTGCTTCCAGTAAATCTATTGAACAACATGGTCCAATGATAGAGCTGTGAACTGGAGGAATCATTTACTCATCCATTCATTCACTCAACAAATAGGTAATGAGCTCCTACTATGTGGGGGGAAAGGCAGCAGCAGGACAAGAGCAAGCTGTATCCTTGTGATGGTCACGATTTAGTGAGGGTACAGCCATCAAAACAATCATCTCAAAGCATGTCATTTTGAATAGCTGTGAGTGCCACGGAGGCAGCGCTGTCTGATAGGACTCTCCTTGAAGATGGCGCTGTTTTGTATCTGTATTGTCCAGCGCTAGCCACTCGCTGTGTGTGACCCTGAGCACCGGAAATGTGGCTCGTGTGACTGAGCAATTTTTATCCTTATTAAATTTTAATTAATTTAAGTTTAAATATCTACATGGGGGAGTGGCTGTATTGGGCAGTGCAAGTATAAGGAATTATGCAAGAAAGTCAGAACCGGTTGTTGCCCAGGCAATTCTGACTCATAACAACCCCATGTGACAAAATAGAATGGCCCCAGAGGGTTTCCAAAGCGTTAATCTTTACAGGAGCAGGTCAGCATCAGCAGCTGGTAGGTTTGAACAGCTGGCCTTTTGGTTAACATCCAAGGGGTTAATTATGCCACAGGGCTCCTTAAGAAAGTGAGAGGGGAACTTAATTTAGATGGGGTGTAATTTTTCTCATTGTTTTATTCTTTACCATGTGCATGTAAAAAAAAAAAAACTAATTAAAAAGAATTGATACAATCAAGCCACCCTGATTTGTAGATGGCTATTCGCTGTCCTGGAGTCCAACCCACACATCTGAACTGGACTGTTGTGCTCCAGGGTTTCCCATGGCTAATTTTTGGAAGTAGGCTGCCAGACCTTTCTTCCTAGTCTATCTCAGTCTGGAAGCTTCACTGGAGCTGTTCAGCATCACAGCAATACACAGGGCTCCACTGACAGACGGACGGTGGCAGGACTCGAGGTGCATTGGCTGGCAGTGAACCTGGGTCTCAGGCATGGAAACCCAGAGCTCAACCACCAACACCACAGCCCTCTATTTATACTAGAAACCGAGTGGTGTTTTATGTCTGTGGTTGTTTTATTGCTTTGTTTTGTTTTGTTTTGTCTTGTTTTGTCAGAAATCCAAATCTGGCTTTTCTGAGATAAGATCACTTTTGTAACCAGAAGTAAATAGTTATTTGTGGAAGTTCTCAGTTCTTGTTTCGGGGGCTGAAATAAACCATATGAGCACAGTGCAATCCCACCTTTCTCTGCTACTTCCCACTCAGGAGGCAATGAGGGGGCGCTGAGGAAACCAACTTGGGACTAAACAGAAGGTCTCGTGGACTTGGGCATGCGCGTCACACCCTCACGGCACCTTGGCTCAGAGGCAGACAGGTGGGGGGGGGGAGGCTGGGCTTTTACAGCTTCTTCTTGTCGCAAAGGAAGTGCAGGTGAGAGGGGGTCAGCCCCCACCCTGGCCACAGCAGATGGCCAGCAGCAGCACAGGGCAAAATCAGGCCCTTCTCATGCCAGCCAAGTCTCTCTCTTCCACATGTTCAGCCTGCCTGGGGGACCAGGCTGCATACTGCAAGAGGACAGCAAAGCAAAATCACTGGCCTCCAACAAAATTCTTAGGGTATCTGGAGATTTATGGATGTGTGCACGTATATTTTTTAAGGTTCCTTTTCTGTTTGGCACAGGGGTTAAGTGCTCAGTTGCTAACTGAAAGTGGTTTGACCCACCAGGAGAAAGCTGTGGCACTATCCTTCCATAAAGATGACAGCCTTGGAAAACCTATGGAACAGTTGTCCTCTGTGCCCTAGGGTTGTTATAAGTTGGAATCAACTTGATGGCAGCAGGATAATATGACTTCAGGTATTCATTCATATACTTAACAGGTGTTCATTGAGCACCTACTCTGTACAGTGGAGTCCCTGATGGCACAAATGGTTCATGTTTGACCACTGACCTAAAGGTTGGTGGTTCTACCCACTCAGCAGCAGTGCCTCAGAAGAAAGGCCTGGTGACCTATTTCCATAAAGATTACAGGCAAGAAAACCCTATGGGTCAGGTCTACTCTATATAACACATGGGGTCGCCATAGTCAGAATCAACTCAACAGCAATGAGTACTATGTAAACAGACACCATCTTAGGCCCTGAGAATTCAGCAATGGACGACAGAGCACCACCTTTCCCTCCAGGTGCTTATAGGTAAGTAGAAGTGAGTAGATGAAGCCAGCACTAAAGAAATGGATAACCAAATAATCATTTCCGTTGTGAAGAATGACCCTGAATAAAGTAAAAAGCGAATGAGACACAGAACACCAGGCGGGAGCCACCTTGCATTTGGTGGCCCAACAGATCTCTGGGGAGATGGCTTTTGAGCTGATAACTGAAATATGACTCAGCCATGGGAACAGTGTGACAGGTCAAGGGAAGTGCCAAGGGCCCGGGATGCGAATGGGAAAGAGCCTGTTTATTCAGAGACTGGAAAACGACTCATGTGGCCGGAGCTTAGACAGAAAGGAAAAGAGAGGCTTGAGGTACAGAGGCAAGCAAGGTCTCCTGGTTCTCAGTGTCTACAAACAGCATAAATGTAACATTGAGGAATTATATGGGTGACACTCAGCTGCTAACCAGAAGGGTGGACGTTTGAGTTCACTCAACAGTGTCTCCAAAGTGTCTGGCAATCTACTTCCAAAAAGTCAGCAAATTCAAACCCAATTCTACTCTGACAGACATGGGTCACCATGAGTCAAAGTCAACTTGATGGCAGACAGCAACTGGTTTGTTTGTTTTGTAGTGAGTGAAAAAGACTTACAACCTCCCTCTCCCATCTAGACAGAAGTGAAGTATTTTACAAAGTTGACCAAGCTCATAACAATATAGACTCGGTCATGTTAATCAGCAGATATTCACTTGACTCCATAAACACATCTTTTGGACCAATATACTTACACCAACATGTGAAGTTCACAACCTTATTTTTAGAATGAAACAAACTAACAAATACCATCACAGTTAACATATGATTTCTCATATCCTCCAAGTGAGAGCTTCCATATAGAATCCTTAGGAAGGTGGTTTTGAAAATAGCAAATTAGCTTTTATGTGGTTTGAACCCTTAATAACAACTACTGCTCAAGTTGCATAAATGTCACTCTTAGAGAAAAATGACTGCAAAGCTGAAAAGACTTTCATTACAAAATAGTCAAGAACTCAGACTCATGCTTGAGACAACCTATACACAAAGGAGTCAGTTTTTCACCTACTAGATTGGCAAAGTTTTGAAAAAATTTTTAAAGCATGTTGTCATAAAATGATAGAAAATGAGCATTCTCACACTTTGTTGGGAGAACATGTTCCAAGGAGGGTGACAGAGCAACTTTGATCAAATTTTACAAGTGAATACCCTTTGTACAATAAGCTCCATTTCCAAGAGTTGATTCACCAGCATGCTCACCACTGGGGGACAGGAGAGGAGGGCCCTTCTGCATTGCTGGGAGCAAGGAAAAAAAAACCCAGCATCGTCCCATGTGCTTAACAAGAGACATGCAGCTTGGACACTAGCTGTGCGACTTGGAGAAAACTCGACCTCTCATTGTCTTCGTTTTGTCATTGCTAAAATGGGCACAGAACAGTGCCTACTTCAAGAATATTTAATTACAGATGAAA